AGGAAGTAGTGGAAACAAATGTATGTATAAGTGGCAGTCTTTAACTAGAGGCAAGACTGGTCATGCTTCTTCACAATTCCCTATCCGAATTTAGGAATTTGGGGCCAAAGTTCAGAAGTTTCTCCCTTTTCTTTTGTAGTCCCCAATTAGATTTTGTTCAAAATTCCAAAAGACAAATCAACCCATAAGTTATTTTCGATGGCAGTTTGAATTTCTTAGGTGAGATATTTAAAAAGTACACACAATTTCTCAACCCTCTATTAGTGAGATAGCAAAAGTTTGGGCAAAGAAAATCCTTACTTATGAGGGGCAAATAAAAAGAATTTTGAAGTCAAATTCAGGGCATCAATTTCAAACTATACTAGAAGGCTACAGTAACCCAAACAGCACAGTACCAGTTCACAATAGACACAGCCCAATGGAACAGAACAGAGAACTCAGAAATAAAGTTGACAAAAATAGGTAATTTTGGGGAAAAGGCCTCCCTATTCCATAAACGTTGGTAGGATAGCTGGCTAACCATATCCAGAGGAATAAAACTGGACCCCTACACCTCTCACCATACACAAAAATTAACTTGAGATAGATTAAATATTTAAATGGAAGACCTCAAACTATAAGAATCCTAGAAGAAAACCTTGGAAACACCATTCTGGGGATCAGCCTTGGGAAAGAATTTCTAAGTCCTCAAAAGCAACTGCAACAAAAACAAAAATTGACAACTGAAAGCAATTTAAACTAAACAGCTTCTGCACAGCAGCCAGGTGCGGTGACTCACACTTGTAATCCCAGCACTCTGTGAGGCCGAAGCAGGTGGGTCACCTGAGCTCAGGAGCTCAAGACCAGCCTGAACAGCCTGGCCAACATGGCGAAACCCCATTTCTACAAAACATACAAAAAAAATTATCTGGGCATGGTGGCACATGACTGCAGTCCCAGTTACTTGAGGGCCTGAAGTGGGAGGACTGCTTGAGCCCAGGAGATTGAGGGTGCAGTGAGCTGAAATCCTGCCACTGCACTCCAGCCTGGGTAGCACAGTGAGACCCTATCTCCAAAAAAACAAAAGAGCTTCTGCACAGCAAAAGAAACTATCAGAGTCAACAGGCCTTTGCTTGAGAGTGCAAAAACTAATATCCAGAATCTATAAGGAACTTTAAACAATTGAACCAGCAAAAAACAAATACACACATTAAAAATGCACAAATGACACGAACCAACACTTCTCAGAAGACAACATACAAGTATCCAACAAACAAAAAAATGTTCCACATCACTAGTCACAAATGCAAATCAAAACCACAATGAGATACCATCTCACACCAGTCAGGATGACTATTAAGAAAAAGTCAAAAAAACAGATGCTGGCAAGGATGCAGAGAAAAGGGGATCATGTATACAGTGTTACTGGGAAAGTCAATTAGTTCAGCCACTGTGGAAAGAAGTTTGGAGATTTCTCAAAGAACTGAAAACAGAACTACCATTCAACCCAGCAATCTCATTAGTGGGTATATATCCAAAAGAGAACAAATACTTCTACCAAAAAGATGCATGCACCATGGTCATCACAGTGCTATTCACAATAGCAAACACAGGGAATCAACCTAGGTGCCCATCAATGGTGGATTGGATAAAGACAATATGGTATGTATACACTATGGAATACTATGTAGCCATAAAAAGAACAAAATCAAGTTATTTGCAGCAACATGATTGCAGCTGGGGGTCATTATTCTAAGCAAATTAACAGAGGAACAGAAAACCAAATACCACAAGTTCTCACAAGGGTACAATGGGTACTCATGGACATAAAGATGTCAACATCATACACCAGGGCCTACGGTGGGGAGGGGGAAGCGGGGAAGGATAGCATTGGGAGTTATACCTGATGTAAATGACGAGTTGATGGGTGCAGCACACCAACATGGAACATGTATACATATGTAACAAACCTGCACATTGTGCACATGTACCCTAGAACTTAAAGTATGAAAAAAAAAAAAAGATGTCAACAATAGACACTGGGGGTTATTCGAGGGAGGAGGGAGGGGGCAAAGGTGAAAAACTATTCAGTACCACACTCATTACATGGGTGATAGGATCAGCCATACCCTAAACTTCAGCATCACACAATATATCCAGGTAATAAATATACACACACACCCTCTGAATCTAAAATAGAAGTTATAAAAAAAATCAAATTTGGGGCATCACATACAGCTCTTGAAAAACAAGAAATGACATTCTCTCAGAATAACCTAGATGACTGACAGTGGTAACACCCATTGTTTTTATTTGGGACAATGAGAACTGTAGTTTCTCTTTAATAAGTAAAAAGCATGCATAATTTCTCAACAGAGCAAAAAAAGTAGTCTTATAAGGCATTTTATACTTCCATGTCCTTTTCCTTATTTGAATTTGTATAAATTATCTTTTTTAATGAAGTGACTGAAGACTTTTGGCACCACACCCTAAGAAAACTATCAACAGTCTGTAGGGTTGATCTTTTACAGAAGGAGATAGGGGCTTTCACTTGGCAAACAGCCAAGCAGCACCCACACACTGCTATAAAGCAACCTTTCCATGGACTTCCTAGGATATACCCAAAATATAATCATGTTCCATAAGTTCTTCAGACATAATAGTGATAAAAAGGAGCCATGAAATATTTCAGAATGAAAATTTTGATGAGTTACTATTGCTATTAGGATTTTGTGACTGCTGTTATCAATTAAGTAAAAGTGGAAGACAAGCGTTTTATTTTCCATAAACAAGGCCTTTCCAAACGTTCTTTTCCCTTAAAAGTGAGTATTAGTCTGTTTTCACACTGCTACAAAGAACTGCCCAAGATTGAGTTATTTATAAAGGAAAGAGGTTTAATTGACGCACAGTTCAGCATGGCTGGGGAGGCCTCAGGAAACTTACAAGCATGGTAGAAGGTGAAGGGAAAAGAAGGTGTCTTCTTAACAAGGCGGCAGGAAGGAGAATGAACACAGGAGGAACTACCAAACACTTATAAAACTACCAGATCTCATGAGAACTCACTATCAAGAGACCAGCATGGGGGAAACCAGTCCCATGATTCAATTACCTCCACCTGATCTCTGCCCCGTGTTTCAATTACCTCCACCTGATTTCTTCCTTAACACGCAGGATTACGGGGATTAAAATTCAAGATGAGATTTTTGAGTGGGGACACAGCCAAACCATATCAGTGAGATTTTTAGTGTCCACCTATCTTAGGCTGCCTCAGAAGATGACAAAAAATTCAAGTTAATGCAAAAGTTTTCTCCACGGGAGAAAAGTTTAGTGTAAAAGTGACTATAATCCCTATAGCTAATTACCAAGCAGACAAATATCCTGCTGGCCAAGAACCATTGTGTCCCATAGAAATGCCTGCATATATGAGCTATGTTGTCATGATGTTCATGGCACTGGAATATTATAGGTAAGTGGTTCATGAAATGGTTTCAGGGACCCCTCCCCCCATTACCCAGAGAAATGGAATATTGCAACTGGAATCATTTCAAAATTTGAGTTTCAGATGTAATCTTTGGGAAGATTACATAAATCGGTGATTATGGCTCTTTACACTTCCATTTTTCAAACTCCAATATTCAAAAAGTAAAATAGTCATATGAGAACCTGAAACCGCCTTTGTGAAAACTATAACTGAGGAAATAAGGACAGTGAAAGATCAGTCCTAACTGACTCCATCTTGCTTCTAACCATTAAGTTGTCCTTGTTCATACCTTGGCGTAGGCCGAACTAACCTTGGGAAGGAATTTAGTTTATGGTTTGACTCAAACAAAATTGATAATAGCCCTTTCCCGAAAAGACCCCCTTCTTGCCTGGGGACCAGTCTGCCTTCATTGGACTAACAAATTAGCTACAAGATTAGAAATAACAGTTTAGGGGTCACGCAGCCTCTGGCTGCAAGAGTCTGAACCTCTCCAAATTGCTCCTGGGGATAACATCACTATTGTAAAACCTAAGGTCAGTGCTTGAGATATTTTACAGACCCTTCTCTCTCCATGAATCAGCTGACACCACCCCGACCAGTAACGTGTCTCAACCAGTTCTGCCATCCCACCCAGGAACAGAAGACACCAAGAAGACCTCACTTGGACCCCCATCTCCAAGCTGACCAATTAGCACTCCCCACTTCCCAAGTCTCTAACCACCAAATTATCTTTAAAAACTCCGATCCCGAAATGTTCCATTTGATAATAATTTTGAGTAATAATTTTTTGAGTAATAATTTGAGACCGATTTGAGTAATAATAAAACTCCAATGTCCCGCACAGCCGACTCTGCGTGAATTACTCTTTCTCATTGCAATTCCCGTCTTGATAAATCGGGTCTGTTTAGGCAGCGGCAAGGCGAACCCGTTGGGTGGTTACAAAACAACTTGAACCTTTTGGCTTTTGAAGCATATGTGAGGGTTTGCGTGGGGCTCCTTACTGGAGAACGTGCCACTTCCCTTGGACTAGAACCTCACTAGCTCGGTTTTCAAAACCTCCTGCAAAGGCTGTGTATGCTAAAAGATGACATCTATCTTGAAATGCAAACGGTTCGCATCAGTTCAAGGCTTCACAAACTACCACAGCTCCCCACTGGCTTCAGAAAAGTTCAGAACTATGTGGATATTTGTAATGCCGCTGCTTAGCAAAACTATGTGGATATTTGTAATGCCGCTGCTTCCCACCCCTGCTCCCCCGCCCCAAGCTCCAACTCATTACTCAGGGCTAAAAACAAAGTAAGTTAATATTATAACATACCCCTCCATTTCACTTCCTCAGCTCCTCACTACTGTTCCCCTAGTCCTCCCTATCCCATTCCCTCTGTCTCCTTCATTTCCTCAGCTAGTTAACTTCAGTGCCTCTTCTAAGATAAAGGGGGTATGACCTTTATCTTAGGATTCAGGATTAAAGCCCTTTCCACCACTGAAAGGTTATTAAATTCTGCTCCTCTCCCCTCCTGCAGCACCTAGTAATTAGCGCAGTCTGTCTCACAGAGGGTGCTTGGTAAATGAATGAAAAAAACCAACACAACCCTGGAAACAGGTGTGCACGTACAACTCAATCCACGCATGCGCGGAGGCAGAGCCCCAGGACCGCGAGACTACCCGCACAGCTTCTCTTTAGGCCCCACAGCTGGAACTCCAAATTGCCTAGTCCCAACCCATGCACTCTCTAATCCGGCGCCACACGCCGGGCCTTCCCCACCACCTCATCTGCTTGGGAACGTAAAGGGTTCTGTGAGGCAGCTGCAGCTTTCGTGCCCATCTGTCTCCAGAGCTTCCCATCTCTGGAACGCGGGAGGGAACAGAGCTCTAGCCTGAATAACTGAGCCCGGCCCGGCAGTTCCCGAGGTGAAAGTGCCAGCGCTAGAGCAGCGGCAGGGCGGGGAGCGGGAGGCCGGGCCCCAAGGAACCGCGGGGCGAGCCCAGCTACGTATTACCTTTCCAGGGCCTGTAGGGTGTAGCTGATGAGCGGTCTCTCCAGGATGGGGCAGAATTGCTTCGGGGTGGGGACACCCATCCTCTCCCCGCACCCCCCGGCAGGCAACACGGCTGCCACGGCGAGCGAGTGGCGCCCGGGCTCGGTCCCGGCCGCGCTCTGCAGGGAGGCGGAAGCCGCGTGGTCCGCGCCGCGCTGACCACTCAGGCAAGGACCCGGCTCCGCGGGCCCGGAACTGCCAGGCGGCCCGGGCTCCATGGCTGCGGGCGGAGCGGCAAACCACGCTAGCCCCGGGCCGATGCGACCCCACGCTGCTCCCACCCTCGGCCGGGGTCGCTGGGTGAAGGGCAGACCACGGAGAGGGACGCGGAGCGCGCAAGCAGAAGGCGCCCCCGTGAGCCGCCGGAGCCTCGCTGTTGCTGCCCCGCAGGGGACGATCCCGACAGCCGCGGCAGCAGCTGAGGCTACCGATCTGCCCTCGCGGCGCGGCTGCGGCCTCCGCACCCGGGCCCAGCGCCTCCGGGAGGGCTGACTTGCCCGCTCTGCGCTTCCCCCGGGCAGGCCCAGCTGTCGCCGCCAGTGGAAGTGTCAGCATGCCCTACATATCTAAAGATCGCAGATACTTAAGGGCCATGAGTATGCAGGAGAGGTCAAGCCTCTGTCCCATTCCTCCCTGCTTTAAAATTTTGGAAGAGATTGAGATTCAAATCACGGGATGGGACGTAGGGTGCGTATGCACCTCGATTATCTGAATTTCATTAAGCTCCGGAGGCTTCCTGGTTCCACCTGGGGTAAAGACAGATGGATTAGCAACTGTTATTGTGGCACATCAATAATTCAAACTGTGGTGGCTCTCAAACTTGCCTGCAAGTTGGAACCACCTGGGGAGCGTGTCCTGACACGCTCAGAGATTGGGATTTAATTGGTCTAGTGTGCACCGGGCTTTGGAATGTTTTTAAAGATCCTCGGGTGATTCTGATGAGCAGGCACGTTTTGGAACCATAGGGCCAAAGCGATACTAATTGCTGAACAATTGATACACCTTATGTCATTTAGTCCCTAGGAGAACTCAACTTTTGTCATTTCCCTTTTTACAAAGGGGAAAAGAAGTTAAAATGGTTAATTTATTTAAGATTGCACAACTAATGGCAGAGCAGCCTTAAGGCCCTCGTATAGAAGTAGGCCAAAGCTGAAGAATTCCAGGCCTAAAGCATATCTTACCTTATTTAGTACTCTTGTTGCTGGTGAGGTTTACCATGAAAGTATAGTGAAGAATTTGGAGGAGAGTACTATTGTATTAGTCCCTGGAATGTAAACTCCATGAAAGCAGCAACATTTTTCTTTTGGCTTGGGTTGTGTGTGTGTTCCCAGCTCCTGGAATGTAACAGAAGCTTAATATTTATTGAATGAATTGCTGATTAAACAGATGAATGATCATTAAAGTGTGTAATCATCAGTAATTCAGTCTTAATCCAGTGGTTTATGATTCATAAGAAATAATCTTTTTAAACACTGGAAATGTTATCCAGTTATAGTATTTATTACAATTTTTATTTTTACCTATTTTCTCAGTTGAGAGCATACAAAATGATGTTTTCTGCTTTTTGTTTAGTCTTATTGAAGCCATTCTTTCACTTGTTACTTTTATTATAATTAGCATTTAGGTCCTGTGCTAGTTGAGGTTTGTTAGACTAATAACTCTTAACTGAAAAGTGGTTGCCATAATATACTTCCTTGTAATTTTTATTGCTATTGTTCCTTTCTAACTTGATCTCAAGGTCTCTCTCTTAAGAGTGGCCATAAGCCAGAACAGTCACTCTTCAGGAGAGCTCTGGCCCAGGGAGGAAAGCTAGGTTCTGGTGTGCAGGTCAGATGCCAGAGGAGGCAGCACACAAAACATGTAAAATAACAGGTGCATTTTATCACTTACAGATTCACCAGAGAATAAGCCTGATGGGAAGTCTGGAGATAACAGGACACCCAACCAGCAGGTGGGGAGCAAGAGAGAGGACCTGTGAGGCTATGTTAAGGTCCAAAAGGCTTTATCCCTTCGGCTTTCCAGAGGGGGTTGTGGATTGACTAAAGAAAACACTAGCAAAGGGGGAACTTGACTGTGGTGTCGACCATTGGGTTTTATCATGGTTAGCAGCTGCGGGATGTGTTGAGTTTTTGGTCATGGAATGAGGAATAAGTGTTCTGTATCACAGGGAGGCGAAGTTTTAAGTAAGCCACAGGTGACATGATACAACTGGGTTTCAAACAGCTTATATCAGACCTAAAAATGAATGCTCAGGCAGCAACTATATGAAACAAGTTTGGCACATTACTTGACTTCGTAGCACCACTACCACACCTGTATCAAGCATTTAAATGTTTGTTGACTAACTGGGTGGATGAATGAATGAGTCTATGAGAGCAGGAAGGCAAATCAAGTTAGTATTTCTATTAATATTGATCTTTAAACCTCCCTTTTTAATCTAAAGGTGGAGTTGTTATAAAGGTATTCTTCCTTTACTTAACCTTGAGCAAAGAAAAGTAGAGTAATAAAGCTCTTGTTATACTAATTGCTATAGAATAATTTTATATAATTAAACATTGACAAATTTTAACTAGAATCTTATTTAGTTTTGTTCTTAGAGCAGATATATCAATTTAGATCTTACATGAATCCTTAGATCCTTATAACTTACATACTATAAACAATGTCTAGCAGACCAACTTGTAGGGGAAAAAGGGCAGATTATAGTATTCATTTACATATACAGTATGAAGCAACATTTTTCTCTGTGTCCTTTTTATATAAATATAATTAGTTCCATGTTATGCATACTTTGGGGTAACAGATGGAGCTTCCTTGTTACTTAATACCAAGTTATAGCAGCCACATTATGAGAATATCTTCTCTGCATCAGGCATGTGAAAGTACATATCCTGAAAAGTGAAATCCTCTGGGATCCACTGGTAATAACCATTGTAAGATATCACTTGAAGCGTTTAGAAAACATAAACCCCAACTGAATCATGAAGCAGAGCATGCAGAGTTGGAAGTTCTTGGAGTCGTTTCTGTTTTGAGCCTCCAGGTAGGCAAAATAATGACTCTCCAAAGATGCCCATATTCTTATCTCCAGAACATATGAATAAGTTACCTTACACTGCTAAAGAGACATTGCAGATGTGATTAAGTGAAAGATCTCAAGATGGAGGGGAGTAGCCTGGATTATCTAGGTGGGCCATATGTAATCTCTGGCATCCTTATAAGAGAGGAGTCAGAGTTAGAGAAGGAAGTATAAGGATGGAAGCAGCTATCAGAGTGCAGACAGAGGTGGGAATGTAGGCAGCTTCTAGAAGCTGGAAGAGGCAAAGAAACAGGTTTTTCTCTTAGAGCCTGCAGAAGAATATAGCCCTGCCACCCCATTTTCAGATTTCTGATATCCAGAACTATAAGATAGTATACTTGAGTTGTTTTAAGCTGCTGAATCTGTGGTAATTTGTTATAGCAGCGAGAGGAAACTAATAACAGGCTTCACACTGAGGAAGATTCTCCTTTGGACTATAATCTCCAAATGAAGTTATACGTAGTTAGAAATGCAGTAATATGATTGAAAGAATAAGGCACTGTTCATTCAACTTTATGTCCCATTACTAGACCCCCAGTATTGATTTTTAAAATAAATCCTTTGTCTTATGAATTTAAAAATGTATTATAAATGTTTAAAGTATAACTTTGTTAAATATATACCACAATTTCACAAGCTGGCTTTGGCATGCCTTTAATTTTTTAAAGTAGTCTCTTTCTAAGAGTAGATTTAGGTTCACAGCAAAATTGAGAGAAAAGTACAAAAATTTCCCATAACTCCCTGCCCCACACATGCATAGCCTCCCACATTGTTAACATCTCCCACCAGAGTGGTACATTGGTTACAACTGATGAACCTACAGTGACACATCATTATAACCCACAGTCCCTAGTTTACATTAGAGTTCACACTTGGTGTTGTACATTCATTCTATAGGATTGATCAATTTACAATGATGTGTATCCACCATTACAGTATCATGCAGAGTAATTTCACTGCCCTAAAGTCATCTATCCTCTGCCTATTCATGCCTTCCTCTCCCCTAATCCCTGCCCAATCCCTGGCATCCACCTGTCTTTTTACTGCCTCCATGCTTTTGCCTTTCCCAGAACATCATATAGTTGGAACCATACAGTATTCTTTTCAGACTGGCCTTCTTTCATTTAGTAATATGCATTTAACTTTTCTCCATATCTTTTCATGGCTTGACAGCTTCTGTCTCTTTAGCACTGATTTATTTTATTTTATTTTTTTTGCTGGATGTACCATGATGTATTTATTCATTCACCTACTGAAAGACATCTTGGTTGCTCCAAGGTTTGGCAATTATAACTAAGCTGTAATAAACATCTCTGTGCAGGGTTTTTTAAAATTGTATTTTAAGTTCTGGGGTACATGTGCAGGATGTGCAGGTTTGTTACAAAGGTAAATGTGTGCCATGGTGGTTTGCTGTACCTATCAACCTTTCACCTAGGTATTAAACCCAGCATGCATTAGCTACTTTTCCTAATGCTCTCCCTCCCTACTCCCCACCTCCCTACAGGTCCCGGTGTGGTTCCGCTCCCGTGTTCTCATTATTCGGCTCCCACTTGTAAGTAAGAACATTCAGTGTTTGGTTTTCGGTTCCTCTGTGCAGATTTTTATGTGTACTAAAATTTTCAATTCCTTTGGATAAATACCAAGGAGAAAGATTGCTGAATTGTATGGGCAAAAGTATGGTTAGTTTTGTAAGAAACGGCCAAACTGTCTTGCAAAGTAGCTATACCATTTTGCATTCCCACCAACAATGAATCAGAGTTTCTGTTGCTTCACATCCTCACCAGCATTTGGTGTGTCAGTGTTCTGGCTGTTGGCCATTCTAACAGATGTGCAGTGGTATCTCAGTGTTGATTTAATTTGTATTTATTTGATGACATATGATGTTGAGCATTGTTCATATGTGTATTTGCCATGTGTATCACATTTGGTGAGGTGTCAGAGTCTTTGGCCCACTTTTTAGTTGGGTCATTTGTGTTTTTATTGTTCAGTTTTGAGAGTTCTTTGTTTATTTTGAAGAACAGTTTTTTCTCTGATATTTCTTTGGCAAATATTTTCTCCCAGTCTGTGGCTTGTCTTTTTATTCTCAACAGTGTCTTTTGCAGAGCAGAAATGTTTAATGATAATGAAGTCCAGCTTATCAATTGTTTTTCACGGGTCATGTCTTTGGTGGTGCTTTTAAAAAAATCATCACCTAGATTTTCTCCTATGCTATCTCTTAGGAGTTTTATAGTTTTGTGGTTTTTTTAGATCAGTGATTCATTTAGGTCTGTGAGTTTTGAGTTAATTTTGTAAAGGGTATAAGGTTTGTCTAGATTCTTTGTTGTTTTTCCACATAGATATGCAGTTGTTGCAGCAACATTTGTTGAAAAGACTATCTTTGCTTCATTTTACTGCCTTTGCTTCTTTGTCAAAGATCAGTTGACTATATTTATTTGAGTCTAATTCTGGTTTCTTTATAATGTTACATTGATTCATTTGTACATCCTTTCGTCAATACCACACTGTCCTGATTACTGTAGCTTTTTATATGTCTTGAGGTCCAGTAGTGTCTGTCTTCCAACTTTGTTCTTCTTCAGTATCGTGTTGGCTATTCTGGGTCTCTTGCCTCTCCATATAAACTTTAAAATCAGTTTATCAATATCCACAAAATAACTTGCTGGTATTTTGATTGAGATTGCATTGAATTTATAGATGAATTTTGGAAGAACTGACATCTTGACAATATTGAGTCTTCCTACTCACAAACATGGAACATCTTTACTTAGTTCTTTTGTGATGTCTTTCATCAGGTTTGTACTTTTTCTTCTATGGATCTTGTACATATTGTCTTAAATTTATACCTAAGGATTTCATTGGGGGGTTAATGTAAATAATATTGTGTTTTTAATTTCAAATTCCACTTGTTCATGCCTGGTATATAGAAAATGATTGACTTTTTTGTATTAACCTTGGATCCTACAGCACTGCTATAGTCACTTATTAGTTCCTGACATTGTCTTTACTTTTTAATATGCACAGAAGTGTACATTAAATGAAAGTGGCTCTCATCTTTATATCTGAAATACCTAAAACTTACTTTTTTGTTTGTGTGTCTTTACATGTTAGTATACCTCTCTGGAGTACTTGTCTTGGAGATTTCTTTTATTAGAAAATTTTAGTTTCCAGTGGGTAAATTTTTTTTAGTATTAACGCAAATGTAATTAGCACTACCAGTCATACCCCTCCTCCCCAGCTACATTATTGTTTTAGTACCCTTTCTAGAGATTAGTTGGGGTGTTTCTCATCAGTGCTAATGAACAGCTTAGTGGTTCATCCTTTAACTCCATTGAAATCAGAGCGAGAAGAAGTAAATTAACATTCTACCATGGGGCATCCCCATCATTTCTGGCAGCCTATGAATTCTAATTTCTGATTTGCTATTGTGTATCTTATGTAAATGGTACAGTCTATTAACCTCTGACCTTTAACTCATTTTTATACATAAGAACGGTGACACTCAGAATTGAGGTCTCTCTGCAGATAATGCAGACTAAACAATACCACATGACAACATCATTATTACCTTTCATTTTCATAATATTTCTTGCAAAGTTATTGTCAATTGTCTCTACCATCCACTGTGCTTTTCCTGTATAACTAAAAAGGAAGCAATGGTTAATATTTAGCCTTAGGACTGAATTAATAATACTAAAGTTTAACTTTTCATAAGAAGCACCTGGAACAATGGTTTCTATATAGTATTTTTATGTATTTTATACAATATAATTTACATAGTATGTATTATATAATAATCTTAGAAAATATATTCCTGGCATCTACTGACAGAAATTTCAATTAAATGCCTCCAGAGTAGGCCCAGGAATCTGATTTTTGATATACCTCCATAGGTGATTCCAATGTAGTTGTGAGCCAGACTGAAATAAACAGTGAATTTAAAAGAATTATACCCCAACTCACTTTATATTCAATACATTTAATTTCAGTACCCAAAGCAAAATGCATGTAATATATTAAAATACCATATAAAAAATGCATAAGAAATTTATTTTAAAATTGTGTAAGTAATTCCTTAAACTGTTTCATTTCCTTGTTAATTTGTAAGAAGGGAAACACAAGGGAAAAATATTTAAATACCAGAAAAGAATGATGGAAGAGAAACAGAAAACCAGATCATCCCTGGTATTTCTACAAACATGTCATTTTGTGTGTGTGTGTGTGTGCGCACTTAGTTTAAGATGCAAATGGTCCAAAGGAATTCAAAGTCATATCTTTTATCTGAGCGATAAGAAAAAAAGAATGCAGACGTTGTGCATTGTGACCACAGCCACCGCCCCCATCAACTTGCCAAGCACAGAGTAAATACAGGAAGTGAGCTGTCCAATAGAGTCTGAATTTCAGACATCATTGCCTTATAGTGCCTTACCCATGAGGGCACCACATCTTTATCTTAAGCAGATTGAAAGGGACTATGGTAGGGTAGAAGCACAAGGGGTAACATGGAGAAGGGAGAGAGAGAAGACTGCGACAGTCGTTTCATATAATAATATAGTCTCTTCAGTGATGTCCAAAAGATATAAACAAGTTTTGATTTTTACAAAAAAGAATGTTTCATTGCTCTCTAGCATGGAATACTCACTGGGAAAGACCCTCTCTCCTTCCCCAAGAAAAAGAAGAAGAAAAAAAGAATATACAGAGTCTGGGAAGATGCTGTATAATCTACTTAGGAGAGCAATAAACTACACCGTTTTGGACAATGAAGACTTAGTGGTGACAAAAGGACAATATTTTATGTGGAAGTAACTTGCAGCAGATTGCTAAGAGGAATAAATGAGGTCACTGTGTTGTCTCTACTGTACGTGCATAGAAATAAGTTAAATAGAAATTAAGTACTCTCTTTTGTGACCATTGCTACCACTAATTGGCTTAAGACATAAATGAAAGAATAGATGAATAATTGAAAGAATGTTAAACTTACCATTGAATATAAACATAAATCAATAAAGAACAATTTATATGTACTCTTCAGAAAAATTAGAGTGCTTGAAACTATTCACAAAATAAAAAGCTTGTTTTGTTTTTAAGTTTGTACAGACTCTTCTCACCCCAACTTCTGACATCTTTTCACCTCTCCTACCACTTATCCTTGAAAGAATTCAAGATCTTGACAAGTGATTAAAATGCAAACCAGAAACTTCCCCCTTTGTCAAATATTCCTTAGTAATTATTCTCTCTTAACTTCATAAAAATATATGATTATTAACTGCTATAGTACAATAACAAAAATATACATGAAAGTAACCAACACTGGTCTTGGGGGCAAAGTTATCAAATTTCATTATGCTTGTCTTGGTTCTCCTGGCCTCTCGCCTTTCTATAGTCTTTATTTTTCCTCACTACCTCCTGAATTGGGTATGTCACTATCAGCTCTGCTGAACCGGAATTCACTTGTGTCTTCATCTATGAACTTAATCCTGCTAGTCCTGACCAGGACAGACAGCTTCACTTTGTGAATAGGGTGAATCTTGCATTTGTCTCATTGCCTAGAGACATGTCTTACTATTCATGGGGTGTACCCACCACTTGCAACCTTTTTCCCAAACTTAACCTCATTGACCCAGGTCTTATAACTGGCTCCTTCTTTCAATTTCACATCTCTCTTGCATGAAGTAAGACACAACCCCAGTTTGACTGACTAGGCTTGAGTCATCAGAGGGTTGACTTCTGATTAATTGGCTGAAGAACTGCTATGGAAGGATTAATCACATACAAACAGGATATCACCCCTTGACTGGCTTTAATTGTTATTCTTGTGACTTCTGATGCCTAGGTCTCCCTGGGATACTCTACAGGCTGGCCTTGGCTTACTTCCCATCCCCACCAGCCAGTGCTGCTAAGATCTGAGATTGCTCATGTTGTGACACTAAGGCCCTCCTGTCCCTACTTAATCTGGCTCTCAAGAAAAATCTAATCTTTTCATTTATCTTCAAGAATAAGTAGTTATAGTTGTTTGAGACATCTCCACTTTAGTAAATATCAGAACCATAATTGCTATGATTTGAATATGTTCCTTAAAGTTGATATGTTGAAAACTTAATTGCCATTGCAGTAGTATTAAGAGGTTAGGCCTTTAAAAGTTCATTAGGTAATGAAGGCTTTGCCCTCATTAATGGATTAATGCCATCATCATGGGAGTGGGCTCCTGAAAAAATAATGAAATTTGGTCCCCATTCCTTTTCTGTCTTATATGCTTACTTCTGCCTTTTGCCTTTCTGCTGTGCAGTAACAACCAACCAGATGCTATTACCATGTTCTTGGATTTCCCAGCCTCCAGAACTGTGAGCCACATAAACTTCTATTCTTTATAAATTACCAAGCCTGTAGTATTCTATTCTAACAGCAGAAATACACTAAGACAATAATCTAAAGGCTTGGTATTCTAACCCTGGAAATTTCCAAGGCCTGGGACTAATGGCAAGAAGTCAAGAAATATACCTTACACATGAGCCAGTGAAAGACTCATCTTAAAAATGATTCTTCTTTATATTTGAGGGGATTATCAAGGGTAAATATGCTCTGTAACTGATAAATCAGATTAAGTTGTGGAGAATAAAAACTATAACGTTTGCAACTTTTTTCAAATGTCTATTACTGTATAAAAAACCATTCCAAAACTTAGCAGCTTAAAACAACACCATCTCATTGCTCACAGTTTTGTGGATCCAGATTTTAAGCAGCACTAAAGGAAACAGCTCATCTCTCTTTCACATGGGGATGGCTAAGGTAGTTCAACTGAAGCAAAGGAGGATCCAAGATAGACTCCTTTATAGATTGGGGTCCTTGGTGTTGGATGTTGCCTGGGGCATCTCAGTTCTCTTCCACATGGTATTTTTCTCCAGCAGGATAGCCTGATTTTCTTTATAGTGAATGATTTCTTTAAAAAACAAACAAACAGATTCTGCCAACCCCGCTTAAATGTCATGCCCCAAACTAGCACAGTGTCAAATCTGTCTCATTCTTTTGGACAAAGGAATTCACAAGCCCAGACAGAAATCAAGAAGAGAGAAAGTAGCTGCACGTCATGATGAAAGGAATTTTTACAGAAAATGAAGGAATTATTAATGGCCATCTTTGCAGAGAATCTTCAACGGGCACTGAGATGGTTAATTTTGTGTGTGAACTTGACTAAGCACAGGATGCTCAAATAGCTGGGTAAGCATTATTTCTGGGTGTACCTGTGAGGGTGTTTCCAGAAGAGATTAGCATTTGAATTTATAAGCTGAGTAAAGCAGATATTCCTCCCCAGTGTCGTGGGCATCATCTAATGTGTGGAGGGCCTGGATAGAACAAAAAAGTGGAAGAAGGTTGAATTGCCTCTCTGTTTGACAGCTTAAGTTTTACATTAATCTTCTTCTAACATAGGACCTCCTGATTCTTAGGCCTTCAGACACAGACTGGAATCTACAGCATTGGCTCTCGGGCTATCCAACCTTCAGACTACATGACCAGCTTTCCTGGGTCTCCAGTTTGCAATCAACCTACCCTGGAACTTTTCAGCCTCCATCATCGCCTGAGCCAATACTTTATAATAAATATGTATCTTCTTCTTGGTGCTGTTTCTCTAGAGAACCCTAACTAGCATAGGCACCAAACACCCATTTTAATAATCCACTTGTCTTCAGATCACAGCAGTATCTACTCAAGAGATACAGACGCCATTGATTTCTGGCCACAGGAGGGCAGAAGAGTCAATAGGTATTCTTTGGCGTTCCTCCCAGGAGGGAGGTGTCAAAGAAATTCAGAGTGATCTGTATGGCCCTATCTGATCTTTGGAATCATTTATTTCTACAGGCTGTTTGCTTTTAAGGTATCAATAGCTGTCAAAATCCCTCTTCTTTGCCATCATAAAATCCCAAACTAGGGTTGAAATACTAGCAAAGAGAGTATATGTTTAAGAAATTGTTTCTGATACTGATGACCCTGTTGTTATATATCCCAAGTGATACACAAAGAACTGATTTTCAAGATGTGACAACATTTAGGTCTCACTTATAAGTGAAGCTCTCCTTAGGACCATACTGTATGGACTAACACTTTATTATTAGAAGGAGAAATGGTAGCAGTGAGAATTTCTTCATATTTGTAATTTTTTAAAATTTCAACCATGCATATTAAATGTAATTTTAATCAGAGTTAAAACCATTTCACATGATGATCTTAATTTACAAGTCAACAAAACTACAAATATGAAGGAATATTTGCAATAACAGAGATTAAAAGCAATTAATTTATTTGAAAGTCAATGAACAATTTTTTTTTTCTTTTTTGGAGATGGACTCTCACTCTGTTACCCAGGCTGGAGTGCACTGGCGCAATCTCGGCTCACTGCAACCTCCACCTCCCGGGTTCAAGCAATTCTCCTGCCTCAGCTTCCCGAGTAGCTGGGACTACAGGCACGCAGCACCATGTCTGGCTAATTTTTTGCATTTTTAGTAGAGATGGGGTTTCACCGTGTTAGCCAGGATGGGCTCAATCTCTTGACCTCATGATCCACCCACCTCAGCCTCCCAAAGTGCTAGGATTACAGGTGTGAGCCACCGCATCCAGCCCCAGTGAACAATTTAGAAGGTGGCTTTTATTACCTCAAAGCTGAAAGTTACAACTCTGAGTATTATAATTTTTTGTGGCCATCTGCTTTAAGAGAGAGAAATGTCTACAAAATGATATGAGCTTTTTTTCCTCTACCTACAGTTGTATACTCAGAAAACCAGGAATTTCTGAACATTAAAACTACACTATGTTGGAAAGGGAGCCAAAAAGCTCAATATCTACTAGAGATGTACAAACTTTCTTTAGCAGAAGCCACCTACTTATCAGTTTTTGATAAATAACCCACTGGCAGTAACAATAGGAGAAAAACAATGTATTTGGCATAATGTTCTATCATGTGGACATGGGATCCCACTTCAACGAACTTGTTTATCTGAGTTAGACCTCTCATTTGAAATCATGGGTGCCGTATTTGAATTGTCAATTGCTTTTTTATATCTTGGGACTGGAACTGGCTTAAGAGTCCTGTATTTTAGGAGACTTCTCCCTACTTACACATCCTCTGAAGAGCATAAGTAAATGTGCCGGCCAGAAATAATGGAAGAAACCATCAACAAATGGGGGGAAATCAGATAGAGTCATGGTGTCACTTTGACTTTTGCCATTGCCTGCTATATTCCAGCTTCTGATTCCACTGCAAATGGAAGCAAAGAAAGCTCATGTAGTAATAACAGCAACTAAGGCAACAGTAGTTTTACACTGATAAGCTAGACGTTTTGAAAGTAAAAGGCTGGCACATAAACTAAATTAGTAGTTCTCAGCTAGGCTACACATCAGAATCATCTGTGGGGTTTTTACAGCTACAGATGCTAAATCAGAATCCAAGACAGGGAAGTGAAAGTGCTTATTCCAATGAAGATCTTTGTTGATAGTCACCATACTAGATTATCTACAAAGGTGGAAAACCTGGTCTGATTTAACAATTTGTAATTGATAAAGGTGAACAGAGTGTGATATGATGAACTGAGTACTGAATCAGAGAATAGGTCTAATTTTACTCTGTGAACAGAGTTATTGAATAATTTTAGCTTGTTACATGTATCACATGTCAGGCACAGTATTATGTGTGTATATCAATAATTCTTTCAGTTCACAATGCTTTGTGATACAAAGATTATTCTTGCTCCTTTTTTAGAGATGTGAAACCTGAAATTAGTGATTTGCCAAAGGAAATGATGGCTATGATCCCAGGTCTGTCTAACCTATACTTGTCTCCAAAGGATAGGACAGTGTTTCTGTTCTCTCCATAATGAGATTCAGCCTCTTTAATGCCTCTTTTAGCAAAATATTACAATAAACTCTTCTCCAATGAACAGTGAGCAATGTCTCCTTGAGCAGATTTTCTTGGATGAAATGAGATGAGGCAACTGAAGAAGGCATTGAAAACTATAATATTCCTTAGAAATTAAGATTTCTTCTCATCTTGAATAATGGCTCTTACATCATCCTAAAGTTTAAAATACTTTTTTTCTGA